GTAAAAATAATATGAGAGGCTGAATAGCTTAGGTTTTAACTTTGGTAGGGTTCTACTTCGTAGCTTATAAAATCGCAACATATTTCCTAGTGACTTTTTCACATCATCTGATTTCACTTAGTTGGCGCCCGGTCGTCTGATATACAAAAAGTTAATAAAAGCATTTAAGTTAAGCAGTCTTTTCCAAAATGTGCTTACATCTTGGGTGGCCGCACTATCTGCTCTTACTTTGCAAGGTAGCTTCTTAGAGTCTTGTTATTGCTAATTTGCTTAAAGCCGATACCAATAGCTGCTCCTCTTAAATGTCTTTTTGTCTATTTCGCGACGTAACAACCTATCTTTGGCGTGTTGTGCTGGGCTATCCGCTTGCCAGATACGTTTCAAAATCTCCTTTGTGCTATATCCTTGAGTTAATATAGGCCTTGACTTATTGCATAATCTCTTGATCAATTTAATTGTAAAAGAATTTAACTTGTTCAATTTATAGTCTGTAGATTTGTGACCCTATCATTATGCACTTCATTTCTTGTAAAAAAGTTTAGTAGAAGGAACTTTTGCTAAGACTTAATCAAGAGCTGAATGAGAATTATCTTGGGACTTTGATTAATTTTTTGCATCTGTTACTTCCCGATGCACCATCCTGTGCTCCTGTTGAATTTATGTTTCATTTAATTTATCTAGTCAGGGCATGAAACTATTTTGTTAATGAGCCAAAAATTGCGGCTCCGATAATTTTTTTGCACAAATGCGTACTTCATTTTCCGAGGCCAATTTCCAAATAACTTCTACTCAGTTTCCATATTATGAAGATATATTAAATTGCCTAAGGATTCTTCGAAAGCCAGCTTTTCTTCATGTGCTTTTGACTATATTCATCTTTAACTTAGGGTTTTTAAAGCTATTTTCAGTCTAAGCTCGATTTATCGTTCCCATGGGCTTTATGTCCCCCATCTATCATGTTTCTATATGTTCTTACTGTTGCATTGTTAAGAATTTCTCATGACCTTTTCTTGACTTCAGACTTCCTAACTTAGTATATTAAAGCCCTTTTTCCGTAAACTGTCGTCTCCCGCTCTGGGGCTTTCTATCATAATGCATTCGAAATTAGCGTATTTTGCAATTCTCACATTATATCTTATGTATAGATATCCAAATAGCGTTAAGTTGAAAGATCTCAGACAAAGCCACTACCCAAATCTTTCCTATTGAAATCTTTTCTTTGCCCTCCTGAATCCAAATGAAGCCGGTCTTCAGACAAAATTTCTGTCTTCATGACTATTTTCCAGTCAATTTTTCTTATCTTAATTGTCGCATGTGCCTCGAATTTTCGTCACAAGATCCTTAGATGATTTGTTGCATATGCCCTGGACCTATACAGTTTTAATAGGTGATCAATTATTTGTTTAAAACAGGTAGTTGATTCTTCAAAAGTCTAATTTGATAGCGAAAGCTTAGGTGCTCTGGCTATACTAAAAAAAATTAATTATTACTTATACGATTGATCAAATTTATCGAACTAAACCCTGAGGGATAAGCCATGTCTGTTATTTTGGTTTTGCTTCTACTATTGTGAAGGTAAGCCGCCACGGATATAATCCCGCATTGCTGAATGTGAAGGGCTTTCAGGATATATAGGGGCGCTTCGGATTTATAAAAGTATGTTTGTTCACCATTTTACTCTGATCCATTAAATGTATGCAGTTTTGTAGTTTTAAAATCTAAATTTACTCTTATTATATTTTATATTTCCTATTTAGGCTTTTTTTGGTTTTCCCTCGAGCACCGTTTAAATGTTTGTTGCCAGTACATCCGCTCCTTTTCGCTGATCAATAACAAGACTATTTAGTTGGTCAATCTCGCAATATTTTAACTAGCTATGCCTTTATTTCGGACTTTCCTTTCTTTTTTGGACAACTAGCCTCTGGATCTGCTACCTCCGCTGGTTTCTCAATTCCCTCTTCCCCTGGCACATCTCGCTCAGGGTCAGGATGCACCAGCTTCTCTAGCACATCTGGCCTCTCATCCTCTACTGCCTCTTCTACTCCAACGTTGCTATCCTCAGATCCTTTTTTGGAAGCTGTGCTTTCGGCCGCCTCAGCTTCTGGTTTTAATGAACCGAATGATGAGATTTCCGCTTTTCATTTACAGCAACAGCAACAAATAGTTGAAGTTGCAAGGACTTTCCTCCTTTCGGGTAATTGCTTCTTATTTCTATATCCTCTATCTTTTATACATTTGTGAATTTAATTCTTTTAAATCTCTCTCTTCGTTTTTATACTTATTTTATTCCATTGGGTATTCAAGCAAAATCTGATATAGAAAAAGCCACCATTGAAGGCTTGACCTCACTATTCCTAATCGTACAATGACTATTGAAATCTCCAATTACTTTGAACGTTTTGGATTTCAATAAATTTATGCATTCGTACAGTCAATATTCTAGGCATTTTTAAAACGAGATAGCTGTGGTTTTTAGAACAGCATCTCTATTCAGCTTATTTTAAGTTTTGACGAATTGTGAGTCTTTTGCATTTAGACTCGACCTAGTCCACCAATATTCTCTATCTAAGACGTGCTCAGAGTCTCAACACCGACTCGATAGCACAGATTCTCTTGAAAGTCTACTTAAAGTTAGTTTCCATATCATATTTTATCGTAATCCTTCCTAGTTGTTTCGCTGATTTTTGAAGCCTTATGCTAGATACAAGAGCTCATCGATTTAGGGCAATCTACTGAGACCACACTGATATCAGCTTCAATGAAATAAACAATTTTATCCCTTCAATATGTTTCAGTTGGTTTTTTATTTTGTCCTTTATATTCAAATCACCAATTATGAATTAACCATTTTATTTATCTTATATTGGTTCAAATAGACAATTGATATCAATTCAGACTTAATTATGCCTAATAGTTAAATGTAAGTAAGTTGCTTTATGGCAGCTCTTCTTCCCTGCATAATTGTTATTGGAAGCAACCTGACCAATTTTATTTTACTATTAGTAATTTGGTTAGATTTACACATTTGAAGGCTAATCTATGCCCATAAATTGATGATATATTAAGTGATAATTGATTTCCTTATTGCTTTTCAATGCAGTTATAATATGAACTATATCCTCTTACAGAGCTTATTCCGTTATTTAGAGTGATCTGACGCTCTATGCCCATATCCTCTATACTATTAATATGCGTAAACTTTACTTGCTTATCAAAGATATGAATACCAAGATGGTGTGGCCTTTTGTGTGGTCGCAGTCTCCTTTTGTTGTATAGAAGTTGTTTGA